ATATAATTATAACTTAGCAAAAGATATTTATAATTTAGGAATAAATTTAATATTAAATTATTATTTTCTTTTGTCAAGTTATAAATGTACATAATTTGAGACTTAAGAATATTTTATATATTTTATGAAATCTTCTGATAATTAAATTTGTTGGGCCTAAGTGTGATATTTTTTTATTTTTTTCAGTTTTTTGGGTCTTTAATTATTTGTTGGTTTGCTAAACTTGACATTTGTACTGTAGGCTTCAGTTTTATGAATAGTATCCTTTTTTCATATAAAAAAAAGAGAAAAAAACCAATTCAAATCAAAGATCCACCTTCCATATTTTTGGCAATTTTTTAAAAGGATTACTTGCTTCATATATCTTGCAGCCTCTAGAAATCATCACTTTCTTGCATCTTCTTGCAGCTTCCAACCCTCTTTCATGTGGGAACAGAATGATTTTTTAGTCATATTTATAAATTATATTATTAAATTTTTATTATAATTTTTTTTCTTTTACCCTCATTAAATATTGGTAAGCAACCGTACATAATTACATTATCTATATTTAACAAGGATAATTAGACAAAATTAAAAATTTATTAAATTTTTAAACACATAATTAGTTTTAAGATTTTTTTTTTAATTCCATTCAAACATAGTACGGGAAGCGACTATTTATAAATGATACTTACAATTTCTGGATAGATCTTTATCGATTATTAATGCATCTTCATGATTGTTCTTTTCTGCGTTTTTCCCTTTTTAGTTTGGCCCTGAATGATTGTTTTTGTCTGGTTATAAATGGAACACTTTTCGGGATTAGTTTCTTCAAGAAAATGTTATCGTAAAATCAAAATGTCTAAAAAAGCATTTTTTTTAAATATAATAATAAGTCTTTATATTAATTCTTTAAGTGATTGCTTATATTTTTAGTTATAATATTGATTCTCTTATCAAGTCATACTATCATAAAAATAATTTTCTAACAAATGATAAAAAGTTATCAAAACACTCCATATAAGTAATCAATTTTTTCAATGAAATACCAATTCAAATAAACTAATGGAATTTTGTAAATATAACTCATATTATAAAAACAAATCAAGCAAAAAATTAATATTTATTATATTTTATATTATATTTGTCGATAATATACTGTTTTATATTAATGATAAATATTTTATAAATTTTTAAATTTTTAATAATAAATTTATTGTGTATTAATAATTAACCTTTTATATACCAACAGGAATGCACTATACTCTCAAATTTTTAAAAATTTGGCCCATAATTGTTACCACAAAATTATTTTTTTTTTTTTTTTGCCGGTGGACCAATTTATTCATAAATTAACATTAATATTGCTGCTTCTTCTTGCATTTGCTGCACATAAAAATGAAAATAATAATTTAAAGCAAATAATAAGTGATAATTTATTTTTATAATTTTTAAATTCAAATTCCCTTGTCATTATTAATTCTAGAAATAAAAAAATAAAATACTTGTTTAAAAACAAATTATATAACTAATTAAAGTTGATGTGAGTAGTAGATACTATCATTACTTAAGCAAGTAACTGAAGGTTTGAATCCAAACCTTTTAAGACAAACAATTTTTATTATCAGCAAAACTTACTCCTTATTCTACAAAAAAAAGAGAGAGAGAGTTAATGAGTATTTTAAATCTTAAATTATTACTCGAATAACATTCCAAACTCTAAACTCTTGAAATGAATAAAAACTCTTCTCAACTTGTAAATCCTGAGCAAATTATCCCCATCTATTTAAATGTTGTCCATCTATTTAACTGTACAACATTGACTGTTATGTATCTGTACAACTTGTGAACTGCCCTCAATGTGTCAAGAAAAGATTAATGCCACATTAACCTTTGACTGAGTCCCATAAAATCAAAAACAATGATGGTTATATGTAAATTAACATCGAGGGGTAATTTGTTCAAAATTTACAAGTTAAAAAAAGGTTTTGCTTATTTAAAAAATTTAAAGTTCAAGAAATTATTCGAGTAATAGTTTAAAGTTTAGGATGCTCATTAACCATTTAAAAAATAAATCATATAAATACACATACCTACATGTTTTTATATAAACAAATCCACAATATAATGAAACTACCCCGTTCTCATCAATCTCTCTTTTGAATTTTTAACAAGAGTTATGGAGATCATTAATAAAAAAATAAAGAAAATTAAACTATGTTTTGCAATTCTACTAACTTTGTCTATGCAGACGGATCAATAAAATAATATATATATATATATATATATATATATATATATATATATATATATATAGAGGTTTTGAATAGACTTCACCAGTCAATTAGTACATTCACTAACTTCCCCAGAAAACACAATACGTAATAAAAACACTCCAATCCTTAATTAAAATTTGTTTAATAGTGCTACTAAGATCCTTAATCAAATAGGACGTGGTAATCTCTCTCCGAATCATATCTTCAGCCTCTGTGAACAACTTAAAATTTTTTAATTAATTAAATCGAGAGTTGGTAGTTTAATACGCAACCCATGTTACTTCATCGATCAGTTTCCGATTAATTAATAATTACCACTTGATTAGAGAAAAAGTATATTATTGATCAATAAAAAAAGTACAATTATATTTAATTAGGGAAAATTTTAATTGAAGATCATGGACGAGACTTAATTATTAATAAGTTTCAGAAAATTCAAAACTTCAGTTCAGTACAAGAAAATTAAAGTGAAAATAATTTTAACAAAGAAAAGGTTAAAGTACCTTTCACTTATTATATAGAATCATTAGTTGTTAATTTTGTTCTTTCACTTAATACAAACTGTAAATTACATGAATTGATATGTTAATTATTATACAAAATTTGACATTAGTTATTCAATTGCAAACATCAACATCAATTATTAACTTTACTTATTAATTTACTAACATAAGTTGTAAATTATAAAATAATTATATTAGTAAATTAATAAATAAAGTTAATAAATTAACAATTGATATTACTGCTTGTCTAACAAATAAAAATAATTTATAATTTATATTGGTAAATTAATAAGTAAAGTAAAAAAAATTAATAATTAATAATTTTGAGATATTTTGTTTTTTTTACCATTAAAATTATTTGTATTATAGTCCTCCAGGATTGAACTGAATTTCAAAATTATTTGAGACTTATGAGTAATTAAGTTGCATTTCAGGTGCTTAGTTGAAATTCTCCCATTTAATTACCTCACCACTGCCAGCTCTCTCTCCCTCCCTCACCCAGGCAGTCAGGCACACACCACTGATCCCTTGGGAATCACACATGTCAGTGAATTTCTTTGCCTTATAGCTGAGATAAAATCCGGACCACAGCTGAGACAAAATAAAAAACTATTTTTAATAAGTGATAAATGTAGGGTCTGTTTGGATTTCAGTTGAGTATCATAGATTATGAAAATAATTGATTAAGTGGTAGATTTTAATCATAATTGATTATGTTATAACGTAATCTATTTAGATACTGTTTTTTTAAAATTAATTTTAACAAAATTGAAGATGTTTGGATAATTTAATCAGAATTAATTTTTAACTATATAAATTACTATATAATTTAATTTTTAAATACCAAATATTAATTTTTTGAATATACAAAGTTTAAATTTTATTAAGGAAAAAAAAGGAAAAAGAAGAGAGTTTAATTTTATTTTTATTAAATTATGTGTTTCCTTTGTAATTTTTTTTTGGGCCTTTCTTTGTAATTTTTTCCAATGCTTTTTGATAAACTTCTGCAAAAGCTGCAAAAGCTGATGGAGAGAACTTACATAAAAACGCGCGTCCTGACCCATAATCGATTTTTGATGATTTTCGACTGTTTGGCTAACTTTTCATATTAATTGATTTTTTACCTCAAAAATCGATTAATGAGGCAATACAAACAGACTGGTAAAAGTTAAATTAAAATCCTAACTAAGTCATATAATACTAATCATCGACGAGATCAGCACTTGGATAATTAATTAAGCCAAACTGTAAACAAAGAAATTGGACAAATTTCCTGTGATTACGTGAAGTCCAAATCCTTTTTTAATTGAAAAAAAAACTTAATGTAAACAACGAAAATTACAAAGTCAAAAGGAGATAAAAATCCATTTTGCTATGTAAATATAGTTGATACACCTGCCACTATTTTAAATGTAAACTATATAAACTGGAGAGAGCACCGTGCCCGCCAATGGATAAGTAGTATGATGCTCATCACTCTTAATAAAATCTGAACCATTTAAATTTAATTTAAATTAAATTTAGACAGTATAAATTTAATAATTTTATTTTTAGTTTTATTTTATAATTATTAATATAAAAATTTTAAAATTTATCAAAATATTTAATAAAGCTGTTGATATATAAATTTAATTTAGATGATTCATTGATATTAAAAAATTTTATATTTTTATAATTAACTATGTAGATGTACTTTAAATAATTCATATTTAATTTTAAAATTTTTATTTTTATAAATACAATATTAAAAATAAAGATAATTTTAAAGTTAGCACTTTTTATAAAATACTTTTTAAAAAAATAAAAGTTAAAATTTTAATTCCAAATCGTTCAATATAAATCTAAATATTTAATTTATAAAAGTTATAAAAAAACTAATTTAAACCATCTAAATTAAATATAAAATGTTAAATTAGTTTAAAAAACAATTACAAAACAAATTTAGTAATTTTTTATAAATTCTTATATTAATAAATATAAATAAAAACTATTTATATTAAATTTAAATTATCCAAATCTCATAAAAAAATATGAATACAGAAGACAACGCCAAGACAGTCCGGAAGCCATCAAGTGGTAAGATAAAAATAGTAATAAACAAATGAACACTTAAAATTAAAATAAAATACAACTTAGATTGTTTGTTCTTTTATTTAAACGGTGTGTTTAGTGATGAGCTCCTCCTGCTCATCCCACCGTTTAGCACCGAGATTGATTCCCCTGCTCTCCAGCCATAGCCATGGCGATCACAGGCACAAACTATCCCTCCGTTGCATTGCTTTCTAGCCCCGGCATGGGCCATCTCATTCCGATCATCGAACTCGGAAAACGTCTTCTCTCTCACCGTTTCTCTGACGTCACTGTCTTCGTCGTCTCCACCGATTTCTCAACCACACAATCACAGATAATCCACCAAACTTCAAACCTTCAGCCTTCCCTTATGAACATCGTCATCCTCCCTCCTGTAAATATATCCAGAGACCTCGGGCCAGACTCTCCAATCGGAGAACGAATCGGTTTAGTAATGGAGAAGTCGCTACCACTTCTACGTTCTGCTATCCTCTCAATGGAACTCCGGCCAACCGCACTCATCGTTGACCTGTTCAGTACAAATGCTTTGGCCATAGCACGTGACCTCGGGATGCTAACCTTCGTGTTTTTCACTTCCACGGCGTGGCTGCTTGCAGTCACTGTGTATGCTCCGGCCATGGATGACGAAACTCTAGATCGGCATCTGAACAACCATGAACCGCTAAGGATTCCTGGTTGCAAATCGGTTCAGTTTGAGGACACGCTTGAACCGTTACTGCTCCGAGGGCAACCGCCGTACGAGCAGTTCGTACAAATGGGGATTAACATTAGCCGTGCCGATGGGATTCTGGTGAATACTTGGGAAGATCTTGAGCCCATGACACTTAAAGCTTTGAGAGACAGTGAGAACGGTTTAGGTGGGATGATTCAGGGGACGGTTTATCCGGTTGGGCCGATAGTGAGGACAATCGAAACAGAAAGGAATAACAGAGACAACGAAGTTCTGAATTGGCTTGATCGGCAACCTCCCGAGTCAGTACTATATGTGTCGTTCGGAAGTGGCGGGACCTTGTCGCCGACCCAAATGGAGGAGGTGGCATGGGGTTTGGAACTAAGCAAAACGAGATTCGTATGGGTGGTACGTCCGGCAAAGGAACACGCAACGAATGGAGCATTTTTCAACGTAGAAAACGCAGGCGGTGAGGACAGCTTGCCGGAGGGATTCACTAGGAGGACCGGCGAGGTAGGACTTGTGGTATCCAAGTGGGCTTCACAAGCAGAGATTCTATCCCACCGTTCAGTTGGTGGATTCATGACACACTGTGGGTGGAACTCGACGGTGGAGGGGATCGTCGCCGGCGAAGTTCCGATGATAGCGTGGCCGCTGTACGCCGAGCAGATGATGAACGCTACGCTGTTGACAGAAGAGCTAGCCGTTGCTTTGAGGGTGAAGACAAAGATGGAGAAGGGATCGGTTGTGATTGATAGGCATGAAATACAGGAGCTAATTAGAAGATTAATGGTGGAAGAAGAAGGACAGTGTATGAGAGCTAAGGTTAAAGAGCTTAAACACAGTGCAGAAATGGCGATATCTGAGGCTGGATCATCTTACAAGTCTTTGAATAAACTGGCCGATTACTGTGGGGCTTATCTTTTTTTTGTATAAGATGGCGAGCAGAGCTTGAAAGCTACTGTGAGGATTATCGCAAAACAAAAATCGCTTTCGTGCGGTGATATATTTATTTATATAAATAATATGTGCATTTAAATCCTTTTGAAGTCAGGTTAAATCTTTTGAGTTTGATGAATTTAGATAAAGTTTTTTTTTGGTATTTTTGCTCATTTTATTATTTTATAAAAAAATATAAATTATTTTATTTTTATTAAAAAGAAAAACTTGAAACTTTACAAAAAATTACAAATCTCAATTTTAGTGGATTTAAATCTTATATATATTATCAACTTATTCACTCTTTAATCATGTCATTATTAATTTTAATTCGCTTGCCCAAGCTCTGCACATGTTTCCTGTATTTTTCATTCAAGATATCAAATTATGTTATAGCTGATTGTATGTGAACAATTTCTTTATTATCTTTTTTTGTTTTTGCACCCAACGATTTAACATGTTCAGCAAAAATTATGAAATTAAAAGGAATTCATTATGGAAATTGGAGAGAATATACCTATATTTATTTTCCTGGATCGTGTGAAGGCTGACGAATTCTTCTTCTTCTTCTTCTTCTTCTTCTTTTGATTTTAGGTTGATGAATGCGTTGGAAGTGACTAGAAATTTAAGGGATAAAAATACGTTTTTTATTCATTTTCTTTAAATTAATTCGATGATATTATATGTATCTTAGCTGGTCAAAAATAAAAAATCTGGGCATCTCTATGTTTACTATTTTGTTACTCCTTCCCAAATCAATTAGAAATGTGAAGTTCCACTTGGCTGGACTATCATTTCGATTCCTTTATTAAAATATTTATTTGTTTTGTTTGTACGATAATCATTGTTTAACTTTAGCTAAGGCTTTGACCAAAAAAAATTAGTTAAGGTTTATAAGTGAGCTGTCATCATTTTTCAATATTTCTATATTATTCTGCTCTCAACTTGCATTGAATTTTTCAAGGTTTCAATTTACGACAAAACCAATTTCAAAACAACAAAAACTAACACCCCTCATTAAAAAATATAAAACATTTTTAAAGAATTAAATATTTAAAAATATAATTTATTTTTAATTTTTTTAAATTATAATTATTATTTTTTTAAAGTATTCTTATTAATAATAATTTTATATTTATTATAAGATATTTAATAAGAATAAATATAAAAAAATAGAGTTAATTTGAAAGTAAATAATTATTTTATTGAGAATGAGATTCCTTAAAAATCTTTTATATTTTTTAAAAGAATGAGTATAACACTAACTTTTAGTTTTTAAATTTTCTTTCCATTCTTAATTTATAATTTAATCTTTCTAATTTATCAAGTTAAGAATTATAAAAATTAAGCTGGTATCAATTAAAAAAATTATAAAGAATAAGTTATTTGAATGAAAAAATTTTTATTTCAATTCAAAATTTATAAACGAAATCGATAAATAATTGAACTAAAATGATATTTCTTTTTTTCGTCCAAAATATAATATTTTCTTGAAGACAACAACAAATTATGTGGCGCTGCACGAAAAACAGTGGGGACAAGAGAAGAGACATTTCCATGAAGCCCCCGTGAGCGATCGATGTATCCATCCATCTATCTAATATTATCTAATTTAATATTTAATAATATACTAAGGTATATCTCTATCAACTATAGATCCACAGTTCTTTAAACAGTAATGTTGGGATTTTTTTAAAAAAATATTAATTAAGGTTTTTTTTAAAAAATTTATATTAAGAAATCACTATTATCAAAATTTAAATACATAGTTATTGATTTGAATTAATAATAATTTATTTTAAATTAATAACAGTTCATTTGGCTTGTTTCTCATTCTATTTAATCCAACACGTAAAAAAAATTTAGCACCATGAATAAGAAAATCCAATTTAACATATAGTGAACTTAAAAAGATCATATTGAGATATATAAATATGTGTTTTGCGCGTGTGCACTGCTACAAAATAATTTTTAACATCACTAATTTACATTGGTTTTACAAAAAAATCAAATTAAAAAAAAGACGGTGATAATTTTATAATTTTTTAAATAAAATTTTACATCAGCTCTCTAAAAAACAAACGTAAAAAACGTTTTCCACATTGGCTATAAAAAAAACTGATCTGAAAAACTGTTTTTTCAAAAAAAAAATTGCTTCTTTTCTACATTAATTTCAAGAAAATAACATAAAATATAGATACCACGTCAGTTTTTTAAAATTTAAAAAGTTGTAAATGCAACTCTTTATATTTATTTTTTCTCAACTTTTTTAGATCCGTGATGTAACTCTTTTCTAATCTCTTTTTCTTCATTTTTCACTCAAGATTTTCACCTTTCTCCTCCCTCTGCCATGTGAAGTCCTGTCGATCATTGCTCCGTAGCTGCTTTGCTACCCTTTGCTATCATCATCACAGATATACATATTTCATTTCTTTTTCATTTTTAACAGACTAGAAGAATAAACACTTCTCCATCTTTATCTTTCCCTTTCATTTGAAATACTTTTCCATTCCTTCTCTACTCTCTTGATCATGGTTGGTATGTGGGTTGTCATAAGTGATACGTTGGTGTCTATCAATGCATAGGTCTCTCACTTGTATTCTCCTCCTTGCTATTTCAATTTATGAGTATGGATGTTGCTTATCTTTCATCTTCCTCTTCCATTAGAGAGGTTTTGCTAGCTCTTCTACTATAAGTCATTATTTTATTTATTTTCTTAATTTGTATTGCCTCCTGGTAATGTGATTAGTTGATTTAATTGTATATTTGTATAATTGGGTACTTTTTTTAATTCTCAAATTTATACTTTATAATAGTTGATTTAATTGAATGTTTTTATAAAGTGTTTAGATTGTTGGAGTGATTTAGTTAACATTGTTATTGATCTTGGATTAATTATATATTTTTGTATTTTTTTTTTAGCATTTTGAACAAATATGTGTGTGTGCATTAACATATTAGTTATATAAAAAAAAATTATATTAGTTCATTTTATAAATATATAATTAGTGTAATTATAACTTATTATATAATCATGTGATTATGCTAACGGGTTGTTTATACTTGTTATATAATCTATACAATTTATAGGTTTTAAATTCTGGATATATAAAAAAACAAACAATTTTTTTAAAAAAATGAACTTTTAATGACATTTATATTGAAAACCATTTATAAAAAGTAGTTATCTATAGATAACCATTTTTTTCATAACCGTCATAAAAAGTTTATTTTATAAAAAAAATTGTTCGTTAAATAATTTTCATATCAGTTAACTGATATGAAAAAAAAAATTTCACATCATTTTTTTTATTTTTCCTTAATCATCAGTGTAAAAAAAAAATTAAAATAACCATTACTAAAAATCTTTCCCATAATAGTAGTATACGCGAACACATAGCCGAATATCCTTTGAGAAAAGGAACATATAACTGTGCTGAAAAGAAAAATAGCAGTAGGTAATAAAAGAAAGAGACTTCTGTATACAAAAATTTGAACCATTAAGAAAAACAATTTGAAGTAAGTTTATTAAAAAAGAAAGAAAGAAAGAAAGATTGGTTCTATGTAAAAACAAATTGAAGTATCTCATTTTTTTATATTAGTAATGAATAACTAACAGTATTTAATTGAGTACATAACATATAAACTACTTATGCAACTAATTATGATAGATTTCAAGCTAAACAATTCCCACCAAATCTTGAATGAGTTAGACTAAATATTGATGAGAGGGCTCATTCATATAAGTAACCAAAGAAATTTAATTAAAGGTTTATCTAAATATCTTGATGATATTCTAACATAGCTGCTGAACTTTTGACCATCCTTCAAGGCTTATCCTTTATTGGGATAACAAATTCATCAATGTTAATGTTTACTCAGATCCTCTTAAAGCTCTTTCGCTTATTTAATACAATTTCACCCAGAATCATCCTCTCTCACATACTACAACAAGGTCAGGGGATCTTGCTGTGAAAAATTAGATGATAACTTTCAATCATACCTTTAGAGAGCCAACAATATGTTAATTGACTTGCCCATCAGGCCATGCGAGGAAATTTATAGTCTACAAATTTTTGTTGATCTGCTTGTTGGTTTTAAAGTCTATTAAGCTTTGATATAGCTTAGCTGTTGTACCCTGAAGTGGCCTTTTTATTCAAAAGAAGAAGAAGGAGAAGGAGAAGGAGAAGAAAAATGCAACGTTGAGGGGCGTGTTTCTTTGAGAGAAAATATGAGCATTCAGATTAAAAAGCTTAACGGTGGTAAATGGCAATCCATGTGATGACGAATATTATTTATAATATGAAATAAGTGATATTTAAGCATTTATTATATCGACAGATTTAAAAATATTTATAAAAATGATAATAAATATCATTTATAATTTTCAACAAGATATGAAATAGCATGCACAAAATGTCATAATTTTTCTTAAATCACTAGTAACCTATGTGACATTAATATTTTACTTAAATGACTTACTTCCAATTTAAAATAAAAAAATAAATATTAGCTACCACTTTAGTCTAACAATAACTATACTTTTTTCTTCTAACAATGATTAGAATGAAATAAACAACTGCAATTTTATCTCTATAAATTTTTTTATTCATTAAAGTCCAAGCAATGACTAATTTTATTTTGGTAATGATTAGAATAGAACAATGAATTATAACTTTCCCTCTGAAAATTTTAGTCATTGTATGTCTCTATATATAAAAAAAAATTTAGAACCTTTAATGTCCCCAAATATGAGAAATTGATTCATAATTTTTCTTAAATCACTAGTAACCTATGTGACATTAATATTTTACTTAAATGACTTACTTCCAATTTAAAATAAAAAATAAATATTAGCTACCACTTTAGTCTAAACAATAACTATACTTAACTATACTTTTTTCTTCTAACAATGATTAGAATGAAATAAACAACTGCAATTTTATCTCTATAAATTTTTTATTCATTAAAGTCCAAGCAATGACTAATTTTATTTTGGTAATGATTAGAATAGAACAATGAATTATAACTTTCCCTCTGCAAATTTTAGTCATTGTTATGTCTCTATATATAAAAAAAATTTAGAACCTTTATTTGTCCCAAATATGAGAAATTGATATTTTTTTAATAAATGAACATTCATTATTACATTCTTGTTACTTACTTGGAAAGGCAAAAAAATAGTTATAAATTTACTTTGAAAAATAAATTTATTTTTTATTTACAATAATTAGAGGCAAAACGAGATGTTACTGTGCTTTTAAATAAATAATTATTTTTATTAGTTTGTGAATTTGATTAAAAATATTTTATATATAAGAAAAGAGGGAGTACTTTTATTTTGAACTAGAGTTGTTTTACTCATTTCATCCAAAATTATTAATATTAAAAAAGGTTCCTAGAGACTTGAGAAGAATTATAACATTTTATAATATCTCATTATTTTTTGCATATTTCAAAGGAATTTTTCTGTTATTTTTTCAAAAGATATCTGGTATTGAATTCTTTTTCTGCCATCTATCTTGTGTATTCAAACATTAATAAATCCGTTAAAAAAAACTTGCGTTAGTATATGAAAAATATATCATAATTTTAGAGAGGATAAATAATAATTTTAAGAAGTATTAATAATTATTTCTACAAAATATTTAAAATTATTGTTTTCAATGTTATATTTTAGAGATATCATAATTTTACCATGGGCAATTTGGTTTAACTAGTCAAAGAAATATGATTCTAACTTATTCTAGGGTCTTGAGAGTTCTAGAGATAGCAATATCTATGTTTTTTTTTTTATTGACATTTTCCCTGTTAGTTTTAGATTTTAGAATCAAGGAAATATGATATCAATTACACATAATTTTTGTAAGAGATTTAATTGGGTTCCACAATAAACCCTATAGCATTTAATTATGTTATAAAAATCTCAACGTGATTCTCCCTAATTTTTACACAATTAGAGTCTTACGTGCAAGTAGCACAAATTATAACTCACTTTATTATCAACACCATAACCCTCACAGTATAAAAGTTACAAAAACAAATAAAAATTCTCATGCATCACAAATTAAACCACCAAATATTTCTTAAAGTCTCTGCTCAAAAAATATTGCGTCTAACGTTTATATACCAACAACAATCTAACTAATTTACACGCGATTAATGTACAATATACTTCATATAATCCATTACCATAAACGTGCCATCTTAAAATTAAAAAACACCACATCTTGTTGATTCGCGTGGGAATAAGTTCTAGTTTTCTTATTATTTAAAGGTAGATAGTGATACCTAAGAATAAAAACAGGTCATGAATCTAAACTCACACACATCCATGCTCCTTCTGCTCCTATTTATAAAGCTAAGAGAATATTTTTTTTTTGTTATATTTAGAAGTTACGTTATTAATTTTTATCATAAATTTTACCCTCCATTGAATGTTAGAGAAAGAAAACATGTTATTAAGATATGTATATTTAATAGCAGTAAAGTTAAGAACTTATTAAATTTTAAGATAGAATTAATGAGTTTTAATATTTTTTTTAGTACTGGTAAAATATATTAAAAGTGACTTATAAATAGGATTAGAAGAGTATACATTTGCAGGCGCATAAAATATTGAAATTCTTTTTTTAAAAAAAATTCTATCTAAAAACATATAAATATAAGTAGGGATCTCTCAAATCCAGTGAAAAACTAGGGTTATATTCACTTATAAATAAGATTATTAATTATTTTCAACTCTTTCAAACCCTCTTGACCCAATCAATTAAAAAAATAAATAAATAACTGACGATTAAAAAAGCTGTAGGGTCACGAAGACTGAGCAGTTATGTACTTAATAATTAATTAATGCAAATAAAAAATATTCCAGCAAGAAGGTCCCACAATACACATAAAATCCACCTATATGCACATCACAAACCCCACAATAAACCTACGGAGATTCAATTAAGCCTAGAATGTTTTGCATCAAGAAGTAGGATCACAAGCATCGGTATCATTTTAACCAATGATTTTTGACAAATGATTTAAAAAACATTACTCATAACTTAGCGCTTTCGCCCTAAAAAGGGGAAGGAAAAAAAAAAAGTGTGCGCACATTCAACACAAATATGTCAATACTGAATTCAAACCCAGGTGCAATCACTTTGACGACTATCCATTTGACAAATTCTTAACAAATGATTAGTCCTATTCAAATGTATTTAATTCGATTATTTTACAGGTTGCGAGGAATGCTTTGACTGTTTATCTCGTTGCCTCACAGCACAAGGGTTCAATTTGATCGAAATGAAAGCTCATTTTAAGTCCTAAAGATAATTCAAGCCCTTGTCTCTGTACATAAAATTGATCTCAGTAGTCTCGCTCATTTGTTAAGTGAAACCATCAAGCTAGAGGAAAATTCTGAGCTAGATGTAGTCTTTTACGGCTACGTTAGAAAATATAAGGTAAAGTTATCTTTTACTCTCAATACATGAAAAAGATTCTCAAGTAACGATATGATTTCTAGTATACAACAATCAATCTGTTGTAACCCTTAGTTTTCTTTCCTTTTATTCTCATACAATATCAAGTAGTATCATATCGTATTTAAACATTATCCAATTTAATTGAGAATAACATTCTGGTCGTATATTTTATTCACAAATTCGAACCTCCCTCATTCATAGAAAATCGGGTCATCTCTACTCAACTGTTGGTACAACGTTTTGATCACTATGTACTTTCAAACAAGAGTTTTTAAGTCCTCAATAATTGTAAACAATTAATATGGAACCCACGTTCAATAGGATTAAACATACCCTACCATTGTCTCTTTGAGATTGAACAAGAAAATATCTCATGAAACTAAGAAAATATCTCATGAAACTCAGCAGATTTCAACTCTAAAACCAGTCAAAGCTAAGGCTAACACATCAAGTTCCGTTGTTGCTGAAAGCACAAGGACAAAACCCGCATCAATTTTTTCTCAAGCTGACTGTTTCATCTACAAATATTGAATCCTCAACCTTAGTTAAGAAAATCGGACCCCTTCTCAACTATATTGTTAGTATAACCTAGTTACTCATTTTAAATGAGATTTTATGTCCTCTAAATTACTGAGAAAACTTTATACAATTAACATGGAGAACCCACGTTCAATAAGGTCAAACACAGAGTTTCTCTCTCTCTCTCTCTCTCTGAAACTGAATAAGAAAATATCTCAACTCCTCTAAAACCAGTCAAGCCAAGCGAAGGGTACCAAGTTCCATTGTTACTCTGACCACAGGACAAGACCCACAATTGAAAGGCCTTGCTTTTGAAGAGCATTTCAAGAGAAAATGAGCATTGCAGCTCTGCAGGATGCGGGGAACAGGTTCGATTATTCTTACCGAGTTGGCAAAATCTTCTACTTTCAGCTGCAGCTTTAGCCCATAAGACAGCAGATGAACTGACACCAGCACAAATAATGCAGACTCAAAAGGTATACTCGTGCAGATTACAGAAACAGCATTTGTCAGACAGGAAATTGATTCTACTTATGACAAGTTTAGCAATGGGGAACCCTACTATCACATTACCTAACCAAATTCTAGCATGAAAGATTTCTTGGTGGGGCCTTTGTACATAGCATGTGAATCCACAGCTGTTTGCAGGTCATTTTGATTAAACTGTGGAACCTCGGTGGCATTGCCTTGTAAGATTGGTGAGTAGGGATGATGATGACAATTATGATGAAAGTTTTGCGCCTGATTCAAGGCTTTTGAGGGTTTTCCCTGTAGAGGTTTGGTTGCAGTGATTTCTTGCTTGGAGTGTGCTGATGTTGTAAGAGGAAGCTCTTGTACATTGATATCCATTTTGTTGAACATGAGATTTGCAATTGCTCTGTCAATAGAGTTAGTCTCTGATTCCATTGGCAGCTGCTCCTCAGGCCTATACAGAAGTTAATGGCCTGATTAGAAGGGTTTGATGATTGTTGTATAAAGAAGACAAGCACAAAGCAGTTTTCTATCAACACAGACTACACAATTATCCAGTATTGAATCTAACATTACAAGTTCAGTGATTTAATATGGGAATTTAAATTTCATCTATGCCATACACCAGCAGAAATTATGCCATGCAATAGGAATTAAACCCCATCATCAAAAGACACAAAATGTTTTATATTTTTTAACATCTTACCCAGAGAAAATGTCTAACAGACGAAGTAGAATTGATGCTATCTTCCATAAGCCCAGATGAAATAAATTTCTTTTTTTCCATTCAAATTCTTGTAACATGCATCAGATAACATAAAAATTGCAAGGCTAATGGTAGCACTAATACATAATCGGTATGCTACTGTTTATTGTAGTTAGTGCCTTCTGCCTAACTCTCTTAACCCACTCCTAACATTAATTGATTTCTGTTCCAGTTTCATCAACAACATGCAATAGTTAAACGGCATAAAGGAAACCATGCACCAGATGCAAATAATGCACCTCATCATCGCACTGTGATCAGTCTGTGGCGTTGTCCTTTGCATGTCAAGGTTTTCATCCATGTCCTGCACCACATGCTGTTGTTTTGTGTTTCCAGCAAGTCGGTAGAGGGCATCACGGAAGCAGATCCGGGTCTTATCAGAGAACTGGTCATGTTGAAAAGAAAAGAAATTCAAACAAGATCAGACGAAGTGTCTTGAAATCAATCAGCTGCTACGCATTTCAGTTCTCAGTCACTTCACCTGTGCAATTGCCATCTCAAGATCCCGTAATATAGATTCCTCAAGAGATGATTGCTGGTTCATGCCCTCATCTGTACTGCACTGCTCAAAAGGGCCCAAGAATTTGACTGGTGGGACCTTAAAGAGAAATCAAAGGATTACGTTACATAGTGAACTTTGAAAGAACCACCCAAATAGTGTACATTACATTTAAAATTAGAAGAGAAGCAAGTTCCGTTAGCTTTCAATGTTTCAACTTATTAAATAAAGGCATCTCATTGGCTTTATTCATATCTTTAACACACCCTGTATGCTTACAATGCGGAAAAACTACAAAGTAGGAAATCATCATACCTTGTGCTACAACATAATTCTAATTACAAGAATAGAGAGCTAGAAGAATTGACTCTCCCACATACCCATAAAGGCTCGGATTCAGATTTCAACTCAGGTTTTGACAATTATTTGGGGGATTGGTTGTATGAATATGTATAAAACAATATTGTGTCATAATCAACTTTATTTCTCCTATAAATATATGTATATAGGTAAAATCCTAGCTTCACTCTATGGTTTGAATGGCTCAAGATAGCCTTTTACTAAATTAGGAGTGCATAGCATCAATAAGACATTTAAGGAATTTCGCTAGCTTCTCAATCTGCTCACATGTTCCATAGCAATTCCAAGAAGAGCAGAGTTGAAGAGGATGGCAGATATTGACACTTCAACCTATACTCAAAACAAAAAATACTAATTGAATCGGAAAATAAGCAAGATCCAATGGAATTGAGTTTGTGAATAGAAGAAATTCTAAGACAAAAACACCTAAGAAAAAATGTAGACTGAATAGATTTCCCACAAAAAGAACAAGTTTATTAATTCTCATTCTTTGTCGTGAAAATTACTCAACAGAAATTGATGAAGAACATGGTTGCTGCAAGCGTGAATTGCAAACACTGTATCGCACATCAGAGAAGAAGCAGCTTTAACCTTTGAAGCATACAGGTATGGTTGAGCACTAGAGGATAAAGTAGTCACCAAATCATATAGAATAGTTACCGCACAGAACAATATAATCTAAATAATGAACAAAACATGTTTCAGCTAGTGGCCTGCAAATAACCTACTGCATCACAAATATCATGCAGGCCACTTAATTATGTTATGTTCTCAAATTGAATTACAAATGTCTTGGCATCTGTAATGGTCTATATATGGCTTATGGAATGAATAAGCAGCCTTCCTATTTTAAGATTTTGAATTCTAATATCAAAGTTTGAAGGAAGTGCTGATGTATACACACCACCGGCATCATTAAACAAGTAAATGAGTAAATGTGGCCAAGTTATACACAAAACACCTATCAAGTACTAGATAAAAAGCAATTCTTACCTTTAAATCCTCGTAATCATCATATGTTGAGTTGCATGGAACAAACTCTGAAACCTCTAAGTCCTCCTTCAATCCACCTGATGGAAAGAAATCATGTATGTTGAGATACCATATGACACAGATACTGTTTGAAATACAAGTACAATGAAGTGGTGTCTAAGAAAGAATTATCACCGGATGCATTACTGAATTGTAGATTTGAAGAGGCGCAGGAGGATTTTAGATTTTCAACATTGGGTAGAGCTTCAAGCATGGAATCCCTGCATAATGTGAAATAAGTGAAGGCTTTAGCATAAAAAAAGAGTCATTTGAAGTAGGTTACCGAATATTCCTATGGAAAGCCAGTGGACAATGAATGGCTCTGTCAGAAAAAGTATGCAATGCAAGATGAAAAAGAAGATCATTTCGTGAAAGAATTATTGAAGAAAGTGGGAGCCCTTACCATGCTATTGCAGGTACATGCTTATACAGTTCAAAAAGAATTATAAGTATAATTGTCTTAGTCAGTACTGGCTCCAGAAGATAAATATGCAGTGGTAATTAGAAAGTGGGAGCCCTTACCATGCTATTGCAGGTACATGCTTATACAGTTCAAAAAGAATTATAAGTATAATTGTCTTAGTCAGTACTGGCTCCAGAAGATAAATATGCAGTGTAAAATTACCACAGAGCAATTCAATTGCACCGGAATTCCAATTATTGAGAGCACACTCGTGCCAATTTAAAGCATTTCAGAAGCTATATCATTATCCTACAGGCATAAACCAAGTATCTTAATCCCAGAGGTTATAGCTGTACAAGAAAATGTCATCCATGTGTTCGAATCTTGAAACGTCCTGAAGCTGATCACATGAAAGAGCTGTCTGTCGAAATGACTGCTCGTGCAATCCTCCACATACACTCGAACTGCTAGACTGATCTTTTTCAAGAAGAGAAGATTCAAGCTCAATTTCATTATTGAAACTTTCATCATTGAAATTGAACTCTACCTCTCTTGAACTTGAGTCCATGGTTGAAAACTTTTTAGGTGAATTGAAACCTTCAGGTGCATTTATCCCCCAATTTTGCCAAGTGTCTGGTGTAGGAAGCCTATCCCATATGTCTTCACCTTTGGGAACAAGAAGGTCATTAATTCCACTCCCACAATACCACTCCATGGAACAAATAAGCTGCACAGAAACATGAAGCCGAGGATTAGACGGAATGAAAAATGGCAGATAACATCAAAAGTATGCAGGCTTTGCAGACTCTAAAACATAAAAGCTATTTGATTTAACCTATAGGGATTCTAGAATCCCTTATTGCTTCATTATAACATGTATATTAAAGAATGCATAATTGCTCCACCAGGCGTTGGACATCTTCTATCTCTTTTCCACTCCAGCATCCTAGAAGAACAAGCACCAAGAAACTCCATACACAACTCTTCTTTGCAGAATCTTCACTAGACGTGATTTGTTAGCAAACCCAGTCGTGTAAACTTGTTGAAGTCAAACTCGCTGGCAGAAGTTCTCAAGTTAAACATCATAAACCAGGATCAGTCGTGTTCATCTCACTTTACATGAGGTTAGAATTTCACTACTAATACTAAAAAAAAAAAAAAAGAGTATTGACAGGCCAGAAGACCTCAGAACATCAAAGAAACAAGATGATAGTAGATAAAAACGGCTTCTTGAACAGGCAAGAATTTCCCGATAATTCTTCTAACACGTCAAAATCATACATCATAACATCAAGACCTATAAAGAAGGATAGGAACAAACCTTAATCAAACTTTATCGGCAGAAACAGAGGAACCCCAGATTGTAATTGACGAAAGCAAATCAACCCAGAAATAGAAGATAGTCAAAAACGATGTTAACGGAGTACTTTTTTTCGGTGTTGCAGCAGCTAGAAGAAACAGAGGCGGCGCTGGTTTTGGCTTGCAATTTGCAAATATTTTAAATCCAAATCCAAAATCTAAATAAAAAGGTGGGCCGCAAGTTGCTCGCAATCCTAGAATAATGAGTAAAGCTGGAACTGGAAAGAGACAAGTGAAGCAAATAAAAATAAAAAATGCTGAGACTTGTGGCTGAGAATTGATGGTGAGACTTGTGGCCTAAAACCCTCCATCTAAAACTGCTTGCTCATTGGCCCACGTGGCAAGACGTACCAATATCTGATTTTCTTTTACTTTCTCGAGGATGCGAGGCCAAGAATTTGGTGCCAACCCATGTGACGACTGTGTGAAGAAGGAATTTATGGGATTGGTACAGAGACCCCCGGTGGTGACGTGTCGTCGAGTGATGACGGATCTGATTTAAGTGACACGTGGCTGAAGATCCCAGGAATGCAGCGACACGTGGACGGGGAGGAAGTTTGCTTTCGAAAGTGAAACACCAGAGAATAGGAGCGACACGTGAGAGAAGATTCTTTCTTTATTTTGTGAGGTAAAGATAAGAGAATATTTGTGTCTATCAAAAAAGAATATTTTTTAGTAGAAAATTATCCATTCATCAGAATGAAGAGTTTACAAGCTATCAAAGATGATTATAGACATAAAAATAATCTAAAGTCTGGTGAAAAAATGTACAACTTTGCGAAGTAGCATTCGGATCCTTTCTTTTATTGGAGGGGGGTGGGGAGGAGCATTTCGGATCCCATCAAGGTAGTGATTTTAGCCCTTCATTTCATCTCAAATGATCTTTGCCTTTTGATTTTAAATTATTTTTTAAAATATTTTTGTACTATATTTGTCAAAATAAAAATATATAAAACTTATAATAAATATTATTATAAATATTTTTTATATTTTAATTTGTTAAATATAATATTAAAATATTTAAAAAATAGTTTAAAGTTAGCAGTAGATGTCATTTAAAATAAAATGAACGGCCAAGATCATCCGTAATCAATCCGAATGCGTATCGGACACTCGTAGCATTTCCACAGATTTTGCAGTACAGGAGATTTCCTTTAAAAAAAAAAATTGTCAACTCATGGCACTATTTAAATTTGAGAGATAAAACGGGAAAATTAAAATGGAAGAACGGCAATAAAATCTGAAAATAGAAAATTTATAATAGTTAGATCTTCAACAGAAATTTTTAAAAAATAAATTATAAATATTAATTTAAATAATTGTAAATATAAATTTTAAATATAAATTGAGAGTTATACTTAGAATTTAAATATTTTATTTATAATTAAAACTCTTAAATTTTTAATTGCCTAAATTAATATTTATAATTGATTTTATATTAAATTTTTTCAGGACCTAACTATTATAAATTCTTTGCTTTGGGACTTTAATATCATTCACCCTATTAATATTGTAGTCTATATAGTTTTGGCCCAATTATAATTTATATTAGTCATTAAAGTTTAACTCAATGCAATTTAATCCTCCAATTTAATTCAATTATAATTCAGTAGCTACAAAACATTGAATCAAAATCTTAGTGTCAAACCTAGGTATGGGAGGGCAATTCCTTCCCCCTCACCCCCCAAAATTTTGTGATGCTTCATGTAAACATGAATTGAGTTTTAATTTTCCTCCTACTAATAAGTTACTCCTTCTAATACTATTTATAAATTACTTCCAACATATTTCACTAAAATTAAATAAAATCTTAAATTTTATTAACTTTATCTTATAATATAACAATTTTTTACCTTTACCTCTGATAAATATTCTTAAATTTTATTATTGATATTTTTATTCAAAATATTTAATAAGGGTAAAAATGTAAAGAAAAATATTAAAAATTAACAAATGTCTTATAAATATAACTAAATTTTTTCTTGTCTCTACCCCATAAATAAGACTAAAAAAAGTAATTTTTTTAATACAAGGTTACAGTAAAAATACCGTGCAAAAGAGCCAAGGTCAGGTCATATCAAAAGTCAAAATACTTCTACAATCTATTGAAGCATCGTCAAATAAAGCAGTATTAAAATGTTTATTAGAGGCCTTATAAATCAAAAGATTAGTATAACAGTTTGCTTCTTCATGGTTGTCTTAAAAAAGAAATAATCTTAAACTTAGTGATTGAAAGAGGAATATGGGAAGAGGAAAAAAGGGGAGAGAGACAATAGGTCACATCGGCCTGAGTAAGGGTTGAGGTGCAGAGATTGTTAAAGGAGAGGGAGCATAATTAGATTCAAGACTTTAGATTTAAGATATTGGGAGGGGAGGAGGGAAATTGACAGAGGGATCATGAAAATTTAGAATTATAAGTGGTGAGAGAGAATTGAGATTTTAAAATAATTTAAGTATTATTAATATAAATGGTCATCTTTTATTGAAACTTTTACTTTAAACCGTTTAATTCTATGTTTTTAGTGAAACCATTTATTTTATTTTATTTTTTATGTAGTAAAGTTTGAAATGCTTTTAACCTTTATATATTCAATTTGTTGTTTAAGTTTTCTTATCAAATCAAGTTAGTATGGTAGATGCTTGATTATTATTTAAACAAGTGGTAGGAATTCAAATTTAAAACTCTTACACATGTGTAAAACTTAGTTCATATGGTTATTCCATTATTTTCAGTACATGAGACGAATTATATGTTGCATTGATAGAATATATCATTTGCGCCTCACCCAAGATATATATATATATATATATATATATGCCCTCACTAATCTCGACACTTGGATCCGCCATTGACTTATCCTACATGGCAAAAATGTGGACTAATAGAGTTAGTATGCTGATATATATGTTATCCTTCAATGTCAAATAGGAAAAATTCCCTCATGAATCTAGTGACGTCATCTATACTTCATTCAATAAAACATTTCATGTTAGTTAACAGTAAATATAAATTATATTTTGTCATCGATAATAATAGAAAAATAACAAATAACAAATATTGAAAAAAAAAACACTCCATTTCAAAGAATTTATTTGTCATGAGGGTCCCAAATTATCAGCATGTCGAGTCATTTTTTGCCACGGAACATATCATTCTTTAGAGATTGGAATATCTGCCGAAATTGATTGTGTTTCAGAGCTCTCTCTTGACCAGCAATAAGTAGTTCGTCGCTGGTAGCATGGTGGGTAGAGACATTCCAAAACCAAGTTAAACTTAAGGGCTTTTAGAGGCAATAATTTAAATTAAATTCGAATGGGCAATTTAAACCTGCGTGAAAAATTTAGGTTCAAGTCTAAAAAATATTATTTTTATTGTTCGAACTTATTCAGATAGCCCAATTAGGTTCAAACCTGATCGGACTTAACCCGAATACCTCAAATAAAAAAAATAAATTTTTTAAAAAAATATAAAATATAATAAATATTAATTAATTTTTAAGTTTTATATTATTTTATACCATAATACTATATATATGAGTGTTTTAATATAGTTATTTTAAAAAAAATTAAAATATTTATATTTCATATTTTTATTATTTTTAATCAATAAAATATTTTAAAATAATATTTAAAATATATTTTAATATTAATTTTTATATTTTAAGACCCAATTTTTTTAAAAAAATTGAATCCTATAAATAATTTGCATATAAAAAATAATTTTATATTTTTTTAAATTAAGATAGTTAATTTTAAAGTAAAAATAAAACTAAAAATAATTTTAAAAATAAAATTCAGGCATATACAAATTCTCCATTCTACTACTAGATAAACATAATAAATAGAATAATATTTTTGAATAATGAATTTTTTATTATCCATGCTAGACTTGATTAAAAATTAAGAGTAAATTAGAATAAGAATTCCTTATATATAAGAGTTAAACAATATAAAAAGTTAAAGAAATATGATTTCAAAAACATAATATTTTACTCTAATTAAATAATTTTTTTATATAATATATAATGGCAATTTTTCTTATATTTATAAAAATAAAAAGTACAATTTACCTAAAAATTATTAAAAATTTTGAACTAATCGAGATAATAATTTTAAGTTAGTAGTCTAACTATAGTTGAATTGAAATTAACTTAATTATAATTAAAATAATATAATTTAATTAAAATATATAAAATATTTATGTATGACTATGATGAGAGTAATATTTAAATAATTAAAATATTAATTTACAAGTAAAGAAAACATTTATGAATAAATTATACATAACATAATAAAATAATAATAAGCTACTTAAGTATAAAGTTAATAAGTTATTTTTTATTTTATTCTTTTAAAATTAAGATAATATTTTATGCTTAATAGAATTATTTAAAAATTAAAATTAGTTCAAAAAATAAAAAAAAATACTTTTAAAAAGTTTCGAATATTTGGGCTAGTCTGAATAAGCTCGAAACCTAAAGTGTTAGGGCTGGGCTTAGCTATATAAACTTTTTAGAAGAGATAAGATACTTTAAATCTGATCCGAATAAGCTCGGCCCGATTGAGCCCGGCCCGTCTAAATTTCCGGCTCTACTTAATTATACCCAATTAAAATTTAAGGACTTAATTATAATTGGATGAAATCACAGGGGCTACAAGATTAACTGTTCCTTTGAAATATTGACTGATGCTTATTGAGTATTGATTTTGGATTGTTGATACGGATAGTAAATGTAATTTTATTTAATTTTTTATATAACCTTTATAGCATCAAGTGTTGTCAATTTATATATTAAATATGAGATAATTGTATAAAAATATTTTTAAAAAATATATAGTTTCAAAAAATTTCACAATCCGCCAGCTCATCTTGGCACTAGTGATTTCCCATTTAAATATAAACAGAACAGTTGAGTTTATTTTGATAAAAAAAAATTCTTGAACTAAAATAAATTTAATTATTCTATTGGACCACTCCCTTCAATAAAGAGTAAACATAGCTTTATAAAAGGATATTTAAAAAAAATAAATGTTGATCTAGTTTGTGAGATTACAAAATCCTACATTTCTATTTTTAGAACATATGATGCATTTCTTCCAGTTATTTTTTAAATTTTAGTTCCATTCATCTCATCGTTAAATCACATATTTAATAGAAATAATAAACCAGAGGAAAGGGGAAGAAAGTTCATTAAAAAATAAAAAATA